GAGATTGGCAGATCCGGCATAAGGCCGAAGGCATAAAAGATTGGTTAATGTTGAAGAGTCTTTCTGCTGTTAGGATTGTAGAATGGTATATGTGGTAAAGAATGTTGCGGGCAGCGTGGTCCATTGGTGTGGCCCAAAACTGTATCCAGTTTTTCGCGTGGATGGTAGTGCCTGTGGCTGTGGGTGCCAAGTATTTTTGGTATTTTTTGGTTTGCCAAGTCTTGATGCCCTAATAGTGCTTGATGGCGAGGGCTAGTGGCTGGAAGGTAATGTCGCCTGGATCACCACTGTGGCCTCCAGTTGGATGGTCCCTAGGAAGACATAGGCGAGCAAAGAAAGGGCGCAGAAAGGATCTGAATTGAGTAATGTCGTTTCGAAGCTGATTTAAGAGTGTGGGGTGTTTAATAAACTCGCCTTTGTGACGATCCCTAAGATGTAGATGACCTAGGGTATCATCAAATATGAAGAAATCGTTTACAGCACACTTCTTGAATCCCGGCCTTTTCAGTGGTAGGTTCGTTGGTGACGGTCGAATGATCACTGATAATGGTATCTGTAGTGCTGTTGCTGGGGTGAGAGTGTGGATATCATCCCAGGAAAGGTCCAGTGCGTCAATGGCCTATAGCACCAAGGTAACAGGAGAGGCTGATTCGTACTTGTTTTGTTTGCGGCTGTCTGGGGAGAACAGAAGTAGCCGGTGATCTACATAAAATTTGTGTATTGCCAGTATCTGCTGTATCAGGCAAAGAATGTGTTGAGGGAACATACCATGTTTCTCCAGCATCGGTTGTATCCACCGTAGCTGGAGGGCATTTTGTTGGCGAATGGGGTCCAAAAGCCCAATCCCTCCTCGATGTCTTGGTAGGCAAAGCGTTTCATAGGATACCCGAGGGAACATGCGATGCATAACAAAATTGCTGATGGTGCTTTTAAGCTTTTGATGGAATCCAGAAATGGGTGCGCCAATGACACGGAGGATATGCCATAGCTTTGATAGAATGAGTGTGTTCAGAACTGTCGCTCTGCCACGTACAGATAGGCCTCGTTCCAGATGTATGTTGCAATGATTTTTAATAGACACCAGTAGTCGATCCAGGAAGGTTTGTAGTTGTGAGCGTGAAGATGAAAGTGGATACCCAAGGTACACGACGGCATCGGTCTTAGTGCGATCATGGCATAGTGGTATACCATTTTGCTGTAGCCTGGTGTTCTACTTGGGGTGCGGGGATCCACTGAGAGATATGGCTTGGGTTTTTGCCTTATTAAATTTAGCGTTGGAAGCTTACTGATACTTCTCCATGTGATATACTACTCTGCAGAGATCTTGTGTATTTTGTAGAAAGACAAGAATATCATCAGCATAAGCCAAGGTTTTGATGGGCTGTAGGTTCGGAATTGATGCAGTTCCTGATGTAAATTGATACCCCTGGTATGCGTCGTCTGTTTGTAATGCCCGGAGGAGAGGTAACAAAGCCAGATTAAAGAGCACCAGTGATAGCGGATCCCCTTGCTGAAGACCACGTTGTTGTGGGATTGCTGAGCTGAGGTGGCTGTTGATGTTGATCTTGATTCGCGTGTTGAAGAAAAGTGAGCTGATGCTGTGTATGATTGGTTCAGGGAAACCTAAGAGTTGCAGGGTTGCCCGTAAGTATTGTGGATGAATGCGATTATACGCTTTTTCTTGATCCAAGAGGAGACCAATTACTGGTGAGTCATTTTCTTTGCCGTGTTCTATGATCAGGCGAGCAACTAACCCATTTTCGGCAATGAAATGGTTTGGCATGGGACATGTTTGTTGTGGGTTGATGATCGTGGCTGCTGCTGTGACGATATGTTTGTTGAGGAGGCGTGTAAAGATCTTGGCGTCATAATTGATCAGGCTAATTGGGCGCCAATTTTTAAGAGAAGTTAAGTCCCCCTTCTTTGGTAACAATCGTACACAAGTCTCTGTCCAGAAAGGTAGGTAAGTAGCAAGATTCAGTGCATCATCATAAACACGATATATCAAATCTTGTGCCGTAGGGTGGTTAAATACCAGTCTCCAGATGCCGTAAGGCAACCCGTCCGTTCCTGGGCTGGGCGCAAATGCATTATCAACTGTTTTTATATAAAAACTATTGGTAACAAATTTTTTATTAGTAACAAAAATTTAAAATGGTTACAAATTAAATTTTATCTTAAATAAAAAATAAACCTATCAATAATGAAATCAGAATATATAAATAATCTAAATGTAATAATGTTGCAGAGTTATCACCATTAGTACTTGCTAATAAATAAATTTCAAACTTAATTACTTTTTTTTATAAAATTGAATTTTATTTTTATATAAAAATAAATCATTCAAAAGAAAAAGAAAATGGTTGCGTTAAATGAATATCTTCCTATCAACCACATTTATCTTAAAATCAATTTATGTAACGAAATTGATACATTTATTGATTCAGAATTCAATCATTTTGTTAGAGAAAATATAATTCAAAAAATTCAAAAAAAATTTAAAAAATAAAATAAAATCTCTTTTTTCAAATGATCATTTCTTAGATTTATCTATGAATCATGGTTTTTGTAGCCATAAATTTAAAAAAGGAAAACATAATGGATAGTTTTATGGGAAGAAAATCAAGACAAATTTACCTAATGGTAAAAAGGATTTTCGTTGCTGTCAATATAGTAAGCTACATATTCTAAAAAAAAGCTATTAGTAGTTAATGATAGTGTTAAAAATATAGAGATAAAAGAGCTGTATATAGAACCTGAAAAAAAAACAGAGAAAAAATTTAAAAAAAAGAAAACCTATAAAAATTACTATTGGTAATCCTTTATTCTTATGCTTTAATAATATTCTTCCATAAATTTTTTATATAATTTTAATATATATTATGTTCTTAATATAGTATGCCTAGACTATGCCTTTCAATATATGCATTTAATAATTCTTTTTGGTTAAACATATCAATAGATAACTAACTATTATCATTATTACTATATCCAACCCATTTTACCTGAAATAAATATGCATTCTTTTCTTTTTTATGTCCAATAATACTTTCTATTTCATATGATACAGTTGCACATGTTTTCCTTTTACATTTCTTCTTCTTTTTCTAGTACGTTCATTAAAATTAGGAATACCATTATCATTTTCACTATTTTCTAAATCATCTGATTCACTATTATTATTATCTATAACCATTTCATTATTATTTGATAATGTCATATTTAATAAATTATTTTGTAGTTGTACCATTCTATCAAGCTTATCCTTATTTTATTTATTATTACTAACAACTATGTCAATTAAGGACTATGCCATATTTTATGATGTGGTAAAATAGGTATATTAAACACTTCTACAAACTTTGTAATATTTTTTAATAAATAGGCAACACAGAACTGAAGATTATAATATTTAATATTATCCATCTTTACAATTGATTTATTACTATCAAAATCATAAAATTTATTTCCAATTTCAGAAAATTGAGTTTTCGATTTTACTTCTAAAGCTTCCAAATATATTATTAAAATGTTCTTCAGTAATAGTTAAATTTTCATTTATATTTTTACGAATTTAAAGTTATCATTACTAAAATTATATCCTTTCTCTGTAGTAAGTTCAGTAAATTGTGTTATGAACAAAGTATATCCACCATCAACAGCTAAAGTATCATTTTGATTCATTTTATTATAAAGTTTCATATTTAAAGACATGCTACCATCAGAACTATCTACACAGAATTCACTTTTTGATATGAAAATTATCATATCATTAATATCAGCTGCAAATTGTATGCGTACACCATTCTTTTTAAATTTATATGAATATAAACGTGATCTATCTAAATCTGTATCTGTATAATTAATTCGTGAATCATGACCATCTAAAATAAGTGTTATATATTTAAATAAATCTGGATTATATTTTCTTGTAGACAAAACACGTAATTTTATATTTGAAAACATATACATTAATGAATCATTTACTATTTTATTAATTCTTTTATAATTCTCTTCATTCATCCAAAATTTTTTATAAAATGTATAAAATGTACTTTGAGGTAAATATTTTTTAATTTCATCTCTGGAAATACCAGAAACTAAATGATATAATAAAAATAAGCCATTTTCTAATTCAAAATAAGGAGCTGGATACTCTTTACTTGTGTATAGTACAACTAAGAAAAAAAATACAGCTGTATAACTAAATTTTTTTAATAATATATCTTTAATTTTTTCAATAAATTTAATATGTTTTATTTGTATTCTATGTTTGAATTTATTATGCACAATAGGCTAATTCCATTCAAGAAATGTCTAATATTTAGTAATAATGGTATTTACTTCCTCTGTAATTAATGCTGTATAATCTATTTACTCCAATTTTTTATTTATATTATAAAATTCAATTTAGATATAAAAAATTAATAGTTCTTTAATAAAACAAATATTAATTTATAACTAATAAGGTAATCCAGTACCCACCTGCTCTGTTTTGGCGCTCTTTTAGTCCCTTGTTGGAGTTCTTTGATCGTAAATGGTTTGACGAGGCTGTCTTTGGTGGTATCATTCAGTCGTATAGAGCTTGGAATGCTGGTATGTAACTGTGTCATGGCGCTGTCGTCTATTGGTGCTGGTGTGTATAGATCACGGTAGAAGGCGGTTGCAGCTTCCTGCATAGCATCTGTTGCTATGCATATAGTGCCGGTATACGGGTGCTGTAGACTACTAATCGTGGCTTGTGAAGAGCGTTGTTGGATGGTGCATTTGAGGTAGCCGGCTGATTTTTCACTGTGCTCACGCCAGCGTTCTCCTATACGTAGTGCTAGAGTATCGCACACTTCTTATTGTACTGCTGATATCTGTTTTTTGATAATTGGCAAGTGCCAAGCGCGAGCCGCTGGAGTTGGGTTCGACCGTATAAACCGATTGCGTTTAGATTGCAATTGACTGAGATAGGCTGTAGTTTTGTTGATGTGTTGCTGGCAATAATGTTGCATTTACTGTTTTAGGAGACGTTTCAGTTCCTCCCATTGGTGTTGAGGCATTGAGTTGCTGTCGATGCGTTCGAAGAAGCGCGTGATTGCTGTTGCAAGTTGGTGACGAAAGTCTTTAAAAGTGAGGATCAAAGGATTGCCTCGCCAGTAGCCCTTTCCTGTGGTAGATGAACCCATATCAAAAGTTGCAAATAATAAAGCATGATCGGACCATGATTTGGCAACATAGGACACTTCCCTAGACTTCACCGTATGAGATACAGATGAAGAGGCATATATATAGTCGATGGTGGACATAGTAAAGTCACTGCGATGGAAGGTCAGTAGTGGTTTGTTATGTGGGTCGGGGTTGATGCAGTTAGTGAAGTGGTGTTGTAGTATGGTAAACCAGGCTGCCGGCGTGTTGAGGTGATACCCTCAGTGTTGACAACTATAGTTGAAGTCTCCCGTTATGATCATTCTTTCTCTGTAGGGTTGTTGCTCCTGAAAAATTTCAGAGTTGTATAATGTTGTAAAGAATTGCCGTCGTTGTGTGGGTGATGTAGCAGGTGCATAGATGGTGAGTAGATAAATCGGCTGAAAGTGTTGTTGCTGGTGCTCGATTTTAACGAAGAGATGCCAATCATTGTCAAGAACTGTGAGTGGTGTGAGTTTTATGTCAGCGCTGAGTGATACGATGCCGCAATGCGAAGTCAAAAAGGATTGTGTAGCATTGAAGTAGCAGTGGAATTTCTCTTCTTGCGATGTTGAGGTTCAATCCATAACAATTAATTTTACTGTAAACAGTAAATTAATTTTAGTTATTCCTTTCACCCCCCCGACTCTAAATCTCATTGTCAAGCTACCCGTCGTCCAAGTATTCCTAGGGTAGAGAGGGGATATGCTCACTACTGTTCCGCCACCATAAGTTTTAAATTTAAACATTAAAGGATATAACTCTTTTAAAGAATTAAACATGTTTATAAGAATTAAAAAATTATATATAAATTAAAAACTTTTTTAAAAAAATTTAAAAAAGACAAAAACTTTAAAAAAATTAAAATAAATGTATTTAAATATATAAATTTTTTTTAAACTAATATATCTGTTTAATCAACAAAACCTATTTTATTTTACAATTTAAGAATTAAACCCCGTTGTGGAGATATGTGTTTCTTGCATTGTTATGATGTGTGGTTGTTGTTGTTTGAGGTGCCGAATAAGATTGAGTTTGTTGTGGTTAAGCAGTCCATTGCAATTAATAGATGCGATCGATATATTGTTGTTTTTTAAAATCATATTAAGATTATTGATGAGTAGGTGTGTGATGGTTACTCTCATTGTTCTTGCTCATCATGTCTCCCGGTGGACGTACACTTGGGCTCGGGGTCTAAAGAAGAGCCCGAGCTGTTTTCCGATAATAAGTTTTGGTCATATTCTTGTAGACTGATATCGCGTTGCCGTTAGAGGCGGACATACAGGATCTGTTTCAGGTCAGCTGGAAAATCGGCATCTTGTAGGATCTCTTTTGCAGTGTCAGAGAGCTCCATGCTATCTATCCAGTTCTTGGGCAGATTAACCTGTATTGCTAGTTCTTGCTCTTCAGCTGGGATCATCGGTCTATCAGTCTGATAGTCTGCAAACTCGATGACGATTTCGTCAAGTGCTTGTTCAATATATCCGCGTCGCATAAAAGCTGGGGAGCTATCCGCGATCATTTTCGTATTGTTGTTCTCGCCGGTTGTTTGATTGGTTTCAGTGTCCAAGTTTTCCAGAAGACTAAACCGATTGGTCGGTTGCACAGGCTTGCCTTGTTCGGGCGCATGTTTTGATTTCAGCAGTTCTTTTAATGGGATGGGGCTGGGTCACGCTTGTGACCAGTCTTGCGACGGCTTGTTTTGTTGCCGCCCGGTGTCCAGTCGTCACTGTTTCGCACGGTGGGGCAGTTCGAAGCATAGTGGTTCTTACCACCACATTTAAAAAATCCTTTCTGGTTACGTCAGAAACGCGGGCAGTCTTCAATAGTATGGCCCGGTTCATGGCAGCGCGAGCAGTGAAGTGGCATTTGATCAAAATGAGCATAGATCAAATCATCCCTGTCGCCGCACCAGGGATGTGATGATCAAGGGTGAGTAGCTGTTGGTTGTGGCGTGGCTGTGTGTCGAAACAGCGAAACCGTTGCCCATGTACGCTTTCGTTCATAGGTCGCGGTTAATACCAACATCTAAAATGTCACCGTATGGACGATACGTTTCACGTAAGCCACGCTTCATATCTTCTTGTCTGAGTAGTAGCAGATTGGTGAGACGAAGCTTTTTGATCTTTGCATTCTTCTCTAAAGCGGGAGTTGCACGGATCGTAATCGTTGAAGTGAACTCGATGCCTGTTTCAATGGCACAGGTCCGTTGCTCTTCAGTTTGCAGATTAATTTCAGCAACTACACGTTGTCCTTCACGATGTGTCAGGATGCCATTATTGATGGGATAAATCTTCATCAGTATATCGACGGCGTCGTCAACTGTACCAGGTACAGGGCTGATGTCGAGCATAACACTACCTGGGGATCGTCCTACCCGCCAAACACTGGAGAAGTAGCACACTTTCTTTTCTTCACTAGTGCTTTGTTGACGCTGAGCGTGGACTAGCGACACTCGTTTGGGTTGGGCAATGTGGGCCCATGTCAATACGGTTGGTGGGGAGGTGTAAATTGAGGATGGTTGGTTGGTGCCCGTATCACGCACGGGCGGTTCGGGAGTAATATCGGGAAGAGCCATGAGGCAGCTCTTATATTAGTGGCAATATAAGTAAATTGTAAATCCGGAGGTGACCCTGGAAACCAGCCATCAGCCGCAGATATCACAAACGAACAAGCTACCATCGCTGCAAACTCGATCGATCAAACTACTCGGGGGACTATTTAGAAAGCCAATTAGTGCCTGTGATGAATTCTATGAGGCGTAGTCAAGAATATGCTGCTACGACTAATAGTGCCGCTACAGATATGGTCACAGCCCTAAGCTCAAGAGTAGTTCAAGACGTATGGCATGCTTTGAAACGCATCTCTGTGCCCAAGGCACATGAAATTCGACGAATGCTCCAACGAGAGCTTACTGATGCTGTTTTTCTAATGGATCAGACAGATGTTAAACGTGTCAAGGATGTACTGGCCAAAAAAGGCAAGATGTTGGATATAGGTAAATAGCCGGCTTTTATTGAAGTTGAAAACAGTATGCTTATATAGCTCTTTTAAAGCGAAAATCCTAAGTACAGCAGCGTATACAGAGAGTTGTCCCAATGCCCCAAGATCTTATCTAACCTGTTTACGATGTACTATTGAGCGCCTGCAAGTAATCATTTTACGCCAGACCAGGTTTCCTCAGTAAATACTGAAAATATACAGGGAGATATAACAGAAAAGATGGGAATAGAGAGAGAGAAAGATAATTGAACTTAAAGGTAAGTGTATATAATAGAACGGCTCCCATATTCAAGTGTTCTTTATTTCAGGCCACTAATTGATGCCTTTTCATATCTGAAAAACGTGATAATAAAATACTACTAAATGCGATCAAGACAGAATCCCAAAGGAAATATTGAAGGGTGATATATTAAATTAATGGGAACGATGGCAGTAGGGATATATGGGGAGTGGATGGGATCATTTATCAAACAAGGGATGATCGTTGAACCCATCCTACTCTGTGACCATGTGTGTGGATTGGAGCTTTTCAGCTCATCCACGTAGTTATTGCCTGTGGGCACCATAATTCTAATATATTACGAAAAAACACACAAAAATGGCTTTATTCTTATACACAGCACTTTTTTGCAGTGCTTTGCTTTGGATTGGTTTCACATAATTCCGCGTTCTGGCTACCCTTGCAACCCACTTTAAAACATTATTGACACGTGCATGACCTAGGCGGCTTCCTGAAATGATTTTGATGCGATGAAGATGCGGCAGATGGTAGCGTTGAATGCGGTGATAAATTTTGCAGTTGAGGTGTCATTGGTGGCTGGTATACCAATGGTACATATAGATTGAGAAAATGTATCTAGGGTGCTGCTCCGGGTTGTAAACGTCGCTGTCTCGACTGTTGAGAAACTCTTGAAGAAGAAATTACTTGATTGTGTTGATGGTCATAATGTTGGGCATTCAATGTTGGTAGCTCACGTGCTTCAGGCGCGGACACTGCTTGGTCGTGACGTTGTTCAGCATAATCCACTTGTTTTAGCGTTTCCTTTGCTCTTGATATGGTTTTGCGAGTATCTTGAGCATGCTTCCATGTTGTATGGTATACTTGAAGAAACGGGGGAAGTTTGTAGAATATAGTTGAACCATTGGCATGCTTTGTATTCCAGATATTGGCAAATCGAACCCACAATCCAGCTGCTTCGCGACCATCTGAGCGCGTAAAGCTATTAATCAAACGGGAAACAACTGTCGCTCTTCACTGGTATGAATCAGAAGTGCTGCATATTTGGTGTTTTGTCTGCGGCACAGGTATAATCTCCGAGTATTCTGATTACCGGTGTTGTTGATAGTGAAGGTATCAAAACCAAATACTTCATGCTGCCCTTCCGAAATGCTTGGAATATCGAACGTTTCTGTTGTTTTCTCGTACAATGTAACATTATGACAGCCTTTCCAATGATCAGGTAGCATGTCATAGGGTTCGTAATTCTATCTGACATCTGGTAATCCAATCTGTATCCGTATCCGAAAGTGCGGATACGGATCATGATCTACAGATACAGATACAGATCGGATAGGATGGTTATCCGATCCGCTCATCTTTCTTCAAGAAAGTGTCTTTGCTTATGGTCAGTTGTATGTTGCTTTTTCGCGCGCAACCAACCTAAATACTCTATGCATTGTAGTCAATATGTTAGCATCAGTAAACAGCACTAATCCATCTACAGAAAATATCGTTTACACTGAAGTACTACTACATCCACTAAGTCCACAAACAACAACAACAGAACCCATCTAATCAGCCACAGCTGCTGCTACAACCATCACATCACCAACTACTACTACTACATCCACTACTCCTCCTGCTTAGATTCGTTGTTCCTTCCTAACAGTTTTTCCTTTTTCTCTATCTTTTTGCCATAGATTTCCTTTTTACATAACATATAATACAAAATTTCTTTACTCTGCCATGATGCCATAAGAGATAAGTATTTATGTGGCGCAGATCTTCTTTTTTACTTTTTCTAATTCACTAACGAGTAACTCGCTCATGCACCTTAATGCCTTAACCGAAACACACCATCTCTCATCTTTACCTCCAGACACTTCAAAAATGCATGTCTATTTCTCTATATTGACGACGCTATATGCTGGATCAGATTTCCACAATATGGCATAACATTGACCTGTGTACGCCATATCATATAATATGTTATATTCTATTCCAGCACGAAGTAAAAACGTTATGAATAAGAAGTGATGGTGGACGTTTAAGGTACGCGAAGAATAGGAAAGATTGTTGTTTTAGGTATGTTATAGGTTGAGAAAAATCGAATTTGAAGAAACACATACCGAGGTACCATACAATTCCAATGACAAGAAGCCTTAGTAGACCGTTGGGTGCATAATTCCTGGACTGCAGATGTCCCATTTTTCTCAAGAAATACACTTTAAATTGATAGATTGTATATTAGGGTTTAGTATTAATAGTGAGTGCAGCAAACGTATTTAGGGTTAGAGGTAGGCGAAGCAGTAAGTAGGCTCGCGAAGCGAGCTTTGGTTAGGGTTTAGAAGGGGGTCTGGGGGAACCCCCAGGAAACATCCAATCCATTGAATGACCCGGAGCGCAGCAAAGGGGCTCATTCAGCCGAGCGAAGCGAGGCAGGTAGATGTTGATATATAATAATAATATCAATTACCATACCTAATAAATATGAAAAATACTATATAGAGGAACAAATCATAGTATTTGTTCTCTCTTATAATAACAAAACATAAATGTTTTTGTTATTTGTCTAAATCTCATTATCTAGCCCCCAACGTTTCGAAAGCAAGTTTCTCAACTACCCCTATTTTATATTTAATAAATTTTTGTATTTATAAGATTTATAAAATATTTTAGTGATGACAAAAATATTTAGGAGTTACAAAAAAAAAACTAAATAAAAATTGAAAATATAATAGTATATAAAATAATATATAAATTATAAATTATAATCTTTTAAAATTTAATAACTTTTTTGTATATACCTAATTATGATTTATCTTCCATATGAATATATAATATGTGGTAATGTAGAATGTGATTATATGAAAAATCCAAAAATGTAATTGATGATATTATTTTTATATTATACAAATAGTATAAATTTTTCCTATAGTTTTTTAGATATACTATTATATATTTATATAAAATTATTATATGTTTATACTCTGGGCGAGATGAGGAATAGTCGGAAGTGGTAGTGTAGTAGCAATGTATTCTCTTTCTTCTATAGATGAACAATCAATAGTTTATATTTAATATTTCTTATATAATATATATGATTATTTTATAATACAAATATTTTTTATTTTACCTTCTTAATTTATGAAGTATATAATATATTCTTTTCATTAAAATAGTCAATAATTATTTGTTTTTGTTTAAATCACTTTCATGAACCCAACTATTATTACCATCTTGGTAGCCTTTCCATTTCACATAAAACATATATCTTTTATTTTCTATCTTGTGATTTACTATTTTTTGAACCTCAAATATATTTTCATTTTTGTTTACATTTCTATATTCATATATATTTAAACTTTTATTTTTATTCTTTGACCTTCTTTTTTTTTTTTAGATATATTATGATATTCAGGAAAATCAATATCTGTATCATTATGATCATTATTGTTATCATCAATACTATTTGTTTTATCTTCATCAACTAATATATCAGCATTTAATTCTTCATTATTTAGATCTAATTTTAATAACTCTATTTGAATTTTATTTAAATCTTTTATTTTTTCCATTTGTTCCATTTGATTTGTATATACTATATCTATTAATCTCATATCATTTGGAAAATCAAAATTATCATTTATCCAAATTTTATGCTGTTCTTGTTCTATAATATTAAATTTATTAACAAAATTCTGGATATTTTTTAGTAAAAATACAACTTTTAACTGCAAGTTAATATATTTTATATCATCTATTTTTAATATAGAATTATTATTTGAGAATCTTTTAAATTTATTATATAAATCCTTGAATTGATTTTTAACTATACTTCTAAAACTACCAAATACTCAGTTATAATATTCTTCTTGTTTATTTAATGGTATACCTATTTCTTTATGAATAGGATATAAAAAGTTTTTATCATTTAAATCAATGTTTTTATCTTTACAGAAGGATTCAAATTGTTTTATAAAAAGAGTATAGCCACCATCCACTGCAACACAATCTTGTTTTTTTATAGTTTTATATAATTTCATGTTGAGGAACATCCCACCATCAGATGATATACTACATAATTGACTATCTGAAACATTTATTATATTTTCATTTATATCTAGAGCTGATAATAATCGTATTTTAATATTGCTGAACATATTTAATAAACAATAATCAATATATTTATTCATATTTTCATAATTTATACTCCTTAGTATATTCATCTATGATTTCAATATCTGATCCATATTTATAGCATATATCTTAATAATCTTTTAATTATATATGAAAATTCAATTTTTAAATTAAAAATATGTATCATAGCAACTAATTAAAAAAGGAAATTAATAAGGAAATAATTTTTGTAAAGAATGATAGTAATATTGTATAATAAATAGTATTAAAAGTAAAAATAATACTATTTTATATCTGACTTTTAATAATATATTTGTTTTAGAAAAGAATTTCTAAATATAATATAATAGAAGTAAATATAAAGATTTGTTTATTCATCTAAACAAAAATTTGCGATGAACAATCAGTAATCATAATTTAATTTTTATATTAATAATTAATACCTTATTTTATAATATAAAATCATTATAATTATATTTTTTTAATAATTAACTATATAATATATTTCTTTTATTAAGTATTCAATAATTATTTCCTTTTGTTTAAAATCATTTTCATTGACCCAACTATTATCTCCATAATCGTATCCTTTCCATTTAACATGAAATATATATTTTTTATTCTCTATTTTATGATTTACTATCTTTTCTACCTCAAATATATTTTCATCTTTGTTTACATTTCTATATTCATATATATTCATACATTTATTTTTATTTTTCGATCGTTTTTTTCTTTTTTTAGATACATTTTGATATTGAGGAAAGTCAACATCTGTATCATCATTATTATTATTATCATTTACAGTTTCATTTTCATTATCAACTATTATATCAATATTATTATTTTCTAATTCATCATTATTTATATTTAAATTTAGTAGTTCTAATTGTATTTTCTATAAATCTTTAATTTTATTCATTTGCTCCATTTGATTAGTATAAACAATATCTATTAATCTCATTTCATTAGGAAAATCAAAATTATTATTTATCCATAACTTATGATGTTCTTGTACTATAATATTAAATTTATCAGCAAAATTTTGAATATTTTTTAATAAAAATACAACTTTTAATTGTAAGTTTATATATTTTATATCATCTGTCTTTAATATAGAATTATTATTAGAGAATCTTTTAAATTTATTATATAAGTCTTTAAATTGATTTTCAACTATAGATCTAAAACTACCAAATACTTTGTTATAATGTTCTTCTTGATTGTTTAAAGCTATTCCTGCTTCTTTACGAATTGGATAAAAAAAATTTCTGTCATTTAAATTAATATTTTTACTTTTACAAAAATCTTCAAATTGTTTAATAAATAGTGTATAACCACCATCTAATGCAATACAATCTTGTTCTTTAATTTTTCTATACAATTTCATATTTAAAAACATACCACCATCACTACAAATACCACATAATTGACTATTAGAAACATTAATTATATTCTCATTTATATCTACTAATACTTGTGCTCTTATTCCACTAGTTTTTAATTTATATGACCATTTTTTTTGATGTGAAACATTCGGTTTATCATATTGAATTGCTGTATCATGCCCATCTAAAGCTAAAGTTATATGTTTAAAATTTTGAGGATTTTTAATTTGAGCTGATAATACTCTTATCTTTATATTACTAAATATTTCTAATAAACAATAATCAACATATTTATTTAAATTTTCATAATTAGTAATCCAAAACTCTTTATATAAATTATAAAAACTAGATGATGGAATATATTTTTTTATATTTTTAGATGTAAAACTATCTACTAATTGATATATTAATAATAATGCTTTTTCAACTTCTAAATAAGGTCCTAGATATTCCTTATGTGTATATAAAACAGTAATAAAAAAGAATATAGGAATATAACCTAATTTATCTAATAATTCATCTTTAATTTCTCTTATATTTTTAATATTTTTTAATTCTGTTCGATGCTTAAATTTATTTTCAACTTTTTTCCAATCTTGACTTAAAAAAGACCACTTATTTAATATTAAATTATTGATTTCATTTTTTAACTTTTTTCTATATTCAATAATATCTTCATTATTCTTATTACTATATTCATCCATGATTTCAATATCTGATTCCATATTTATAGCATATATCTTAATAATCTTTTAACTATATATGAAAATTCAATTTTTAAATTAAAAATATGTATCATAGCAACTAATTAAAATAGGAAATTAATAAGGAAATAATATATCTATTTT